ATTAAAATTAATTAATTTTATAGTTTTATTGCTAAAATGAGTATTATTATTGATTAATTATCTTATTCTAGAGTACACATCATAAAATTATGATGAAAAAAAAAATAAAAAAAGATTTTCCCTGAATTCGGGAACTAATTTCATAGTACTTCGAAGCGGTCACCCATCCGGTTGCATACCGCCATTTACTATGCTTGACTTCTGAAATCGTCTGGAAACCGCTGCACTTCGATGATCCACGAACACTTGTATAATCGTGGATGTATAGCTATGATATTTCTGTTCAATATATGATCCTGATAGAAATTTATGCACTTCAACTGAACATCCAGTCAGTTACTCTAATATTTCATTTTAATGTTGTAACGACTATTTTCAGGTTAGGCAATCATACGCTGTACTTTCGCAGTACCAGTTATCATGTATATCGTCTTCGACTAATAACGAAAGTGGCAAACTTCAGAGTAGAGACAAAATCTCGATTAAACTCCGATTAATTCAATAAGTTCTATATATCTATGCTAATAAAATATCACGGATAAAAGCTTGTCAATTACAGTCGATTAAATTAGTCGAAAATCGGAATTTAGTCGAAGAAACCTTAAATCGATCGCAGCGCCGCCAGCGGCACAAGCTGAAACTATCCATGATGCCAAGCGTCGCCTGGCGGCACCAACATCATCTTCATAAAACAACGTAATCTACGTATCGATACTATCGATAAGAGAAACCAGTAAGATACCGACTGAACTAAACGCTTCCGACCATTGCCGAATGTTGCCGAGCTTTGCCGAGCTTTGCCGAGCGCGCAGCAGCGCCCCGCTCGGGGCGTGCGGACACTTGTCGTACAGAAGAGCAACATGTCGCGCTTTCACCCGATTGAACTGGACAGCTAGACAGGCTGTTCGCGTACTCCGTCGATTTCTCGCCTGTTCCTCTCCCATCGCAGCTCCAATCGTTATCGCGATCGCATTTGTATATTGCCAGCGTCCGCGTCGACGTTCCGACGCGATTATGACGTCGGTCTGTGAGCCGTCGTCGCACATAAACGACATTTCGTCATCGCGGAAGCGAACATAACCCCTCCGAGAGACAATGAACCGCCCTGTTCCCGAGTCATTCTCCTAAGGAGACGGTGAGTTCGTGACGTCAAGCGGATTATATTCGATTAGTCCCTAGCTGATCACTCAACATGGGCCTGCTGTTCGCGAAGCTGTGGAGCTTCTTCGGCAACGAAGGTAAATACTATGATAAGATCCATGAGTCATAGTTCTTCCCACCGCTCCCTTTGTACGTTATCATTGTATATGTTTGTGGTAACACGTGCTAGGTGGTCGACCGATTGCCGATCAGCGATCTATGATTTGTCAGTTTAATTGAAAGGGTCGGTCACTCGCACGTAAAACTTGTCAGGAAGTACTTTGGGCCTACAATAAGACGCTCACGAAATTTACGCGAGTATTATTTTAAGCGTTTTTTTTCTTGGAGTCGTCAATTTTATCAAGAATCTGATGTAGAGCTGTGTGACTTGATGAATCAGATGATATTCTTACTGGAAATTCTATGCATGTTCATTGGCCTACTTTCTCTAACTTGTTAACATATGCTACTAATACCTGTTCCTATCACTGTAGATTAAGATCAGGGGTACGCGGTTTTAATCTTGGTTTAACTTACTTTTCATTTTTTTTTCTAGTTTTAATAATCAGAAAAGGATAAAGAATAAATTAAACTGAGATTAAAGTTAATCTACATTGTTAAAAAAGAACATAAATCACATTCTGTATCTGAAGATTTGACCCCTAAATTTAAATCCTCAACTTGCAACTTATATTTTAATTTGATCTATACTTTCATTACATTATTCTTTATATCTAGAAGGATATAAATCAAAATTACTAAATTAGACATTTATTCTTTGTCATTGCATTGAATAATGCTAAAACTTTCTATCTTACTTTCACCAAACTTCAAATGTTTATCTGTCTATATGGTCTAGTTTAGCTATAAAGAAACAGACCTTATAATAAAAATTTATTGTTTTTAGAGCATAAAATAGTTATGGTTGGTCTGGATAATGCCGGAAAGACAACAATATTATATCAATTCCTGATGAATGAAGTTGTCCACACGTCTCCGACCATCGGGTCCAACGTAGAGGAAGTTGTGTGGAAGAATATTCATTTTATCATGTGGGATTTGGGTGGTCAGCAGAGTTTGAGAGCTGCCTGGTCTACTTACTACACGAATACCGAATTTATCATTATGGTCATAGATAGCACTGACCGAGAGAGACTTGGTATGATTAGGGAAGAGCTCTATTCGATGCTAAACCACGAGGAATTGAGTAAAGCCAATGTTCTGGTCTACGCCAATAAACAAGACTTAAAGGGCAGCATGACTGCAGCTGAGATTTCAAGACAATTGGATCTAACATCTATCAAAAAACATCAATGGCATATACAGAGCTGTTGCGCCCTCACTGGAGAAGGGTAAGACCATAGCGTGATTATGAACTTATTTCTAGCAGGATAGAGGAATAAAATCTAAAATAAATGATAATAAAAAATGTTTCAGATTGTACCAGGGACTGGAATGGATCGTCGGACGTTTAAAAAAGACATGACGTACATTATGAAAGTCATTTATAAGTAATGAAATATCCAAAATGTAAAATATGTTATTGAGCTAAGTTAGTTCTGGTTACACACTTTGACAGTTATACGAAAGAAGAAAACAGCATGGGCTGTCGCATTTCGTTCATTGATTTCAATCTCCTGGTATGATCCTCAAAGTGCATCCGATCATTTTATTGCAGCAGCCACACTTAAAGAACGGTGGACGGGTCTGTTCTACAGCTACTAATTACACTGGCTGCTTATGCAATCAAAGGAAAGTTTTGATATTGTTCTTATGACATAACAAGCCTCAACTCGTTCAATATAGAGATAAGAAAAGAATGAAGACAAGTAGAAATGTACAAAGCAAATGTACAAAGCGAAATGTTAAGCGAGTACTAAAAAGAAAGATAATTATTTTTTGCGTCCATTTACAAGATGTATGCTTGGTTGATTATCATAGTTAAATGATCATTGTGTGTGAACATAACAAGTATATAATTTAATTCGTTAAAAGAGGAATTATCGATTTCTTATGCGAATTATGTTATCATTTGCATGATAAAAGTAAGAGATTTCTTATCCCGTCCACCTACAGTAAAATTCTGCAGTAAAACAGGCAGTTAAAATGGAGGGAGGCAACTCGTTATTCGTACTCAGTTCATATGTAAGAACGCAAGAAAGTGTACATAGTTTTTTATACTTCTCGTTAAGAGAGCGAGCTCTGTAAAAAATGAGAAAGAAATATAATGCCGGACGAGAGAAAAAGTGCAAAATCTTGCGACATTTCCGTACGTAAGGGCCGAGCAGATTCATGGCCAGGTAACCCAATTGAGGAAAATTTCTCAAGGCAGAATATGAACTGCTCTGTGATACGTGGATTCAATTCTGAGACAGTTGTTTGCTGATTATATCATGTAACCGATATGACTTACATGACGCGTGGGAAAAAAGCACAACGAAGGATGGGCTGATAAAGCTCGATGGAAGGCTGATGATATTCTTAGGATGCGACATACGTAATATCGCGACAGGTGAATGGGAGCTTCAAATCAAACACTCGCCTATTGACTCACTGATTCGCTGAACGATTTCAACCTGTTCCGTTTTATTTTTCTTGGCAGTGAGAAATAATATTATAAGTTTCATATGTATATCTAATTGATATAGTTCATTACTGTAACTGCTTCAAGTGATGTTATTAACTAAAGCGCGAATTTTTAGTTATTTAAGGAAATGTATCTTCCGGTTCCATTCACCTGCGGTTACTGCGTGCCGCCAGGATGATGGGATGTACTAATGAAAGTCCGTGACACAAAGGAATCATCTTGTCTCCAACTTTGACAGCTGTCTCGTCTTTGCTTTATTTAAATTGTAAATGTAATCTATCTTTTTTGTAGCGTTAAATACTCCAATAGATATAATATTAATTATCGTAGCTTTAAAAAAAAGGGAAATTGTCAATGTGTGCTCTAAAAGATTAATGGGTACACGCAAAGATGACTGTACAGGCGTTGTTAACATCACGCGGTGAGATATAAATGCCGTCTAATGCCAGAGTGAGATCATAACACTTAAAAGTTAACGCTAGCTTTCTCATATTGAGAAACGGGTTCTTAAATGTTGGTGACACATAAGAGTCGTATCTCCCGTGTACATTGTTTGCTCCTCAAAATTCTATGCGGGGTATATTATACCGAATCTACACTCGTCGAATTTATCCACGGCGTCCGTCTTCTCTATTTAACTGTAATTGTGTAAAAAAAATAAAATTTTTGGAATGTGTAAAGTACAAGACATAGGTTGTTTTAACGCAATGTTGGCGGAACGAGCGTGCACGTGAAAAACGTGATTCGTGCTTTTGCAAACTCAGCCCGACCTGTCGAGTCTATCGAAATAACGATTTTAAAATCAATCATTTCCGATTATTAGTCTTTATCTAATATAATTGTATAAGTCAGGGAATCCTGTTCGACTTTAATGAATAATAAAAATGCTAAAAGTATGGGATGTCAAATAAATTAAAAATCAGTTTCTATCAATAAGAAATATACGGATTTGCTGTACTTTTATTTACCACGATAATACCATCCTACTTCCTAATTCTTATAATTTGCATTTCAGTAAGAAATGTACATAAGTTTTTTATTGTCTTTAGATTAAGCATATTTCATTCGGTGTTAAAATTGATAATACCTTACTGAGTATCGCTTTAAAAGCTTTTTAAATTTTATTCTTTATCCAAAGCTTTTTTCGATATTTTGATAGAATATTCAGCGATAAATATCGTAGACTATTGGGGTTACGTACTAAGGCGAACGATTAGGCGAACGGTGCTTTGTGAATCCTAAGTCCCGAAGGAGAAAAATTTGTCAGCTACGATTACCTTTGATCCATTTATTTTCACATTCGTTATAAATAAGATATACACACACTCATTCATTCTTATAACAGTGGCTCCACCACCACTGGTCATGCTTCTTAATTTTACACTGTATTCACGGCGGTTTCTCGTCACGATACGACCGAGTATGCCGTTCGACGAGACTATAAACACTATTTTTAAGTATGCTCAATCACTCTGCGTCATTGTATGCCGTTAAGTATTCAACTACTGCAACTCGCGTACAGCAACAGCATTTCTTTTGCCATTCCAAAAACAATCAGAATCATAGATACAGTATTTATTCCGTCTACAGTTAGAATGAATTTCCTGAGGGAAGTGGGACAGTAAACAACGACCAGCCCTTATAAAAAAATACACTCTTGACGGTCCGAAATAACACCTAATTGAGTGTTAACTCTTTAATTGAGGATTAACACTCAATTTGAGTGTCATTTTGGACCGCCAAAAATGTATTTTTTCGTAAGGAAGGAGATCTACGTCTGAGCTAATTAGCACGTTCGCCTTTTGGCGTTCGTGCTGACTATTGCTTTCAAGATCTATTCTTTATGACACCGTTCTATTGCTAAAAAAATTCAATAAATTTCGAAAGTAATTTCTAAAATAATCCACCAATTCGAAAAAGAAATATGATACACATCAGGGTGCAATTTTTTGTGTGACGAGGCAAGACAACAACGTGACGGTTGCTAATTCATGTCTAATCACCGAATAACATAAAAATGCCAGGTATAAAAAAAATTCTCTGAATGATGTCTGATCTAAATTAAATTATCTTTTAGATGGTGATGTTTCTTGAACGTTTATGTTGCCTTACGCAATAAATCTAGATTTCGAGTCTCTACTTTCTATTGTATTTATGACTTTACGTCGTTAGGCTAACACGTTAACTATCGCCGTAGATTTTGCGTAGTTTAAATTCCCTAAATTTCTAGCGGTAGTCGGCGTGTTGCTTTGTATTGAGCGATGACTTTATTTACAATAATTACCTATTTCTGACGCGTTTTTTATCTTGTGTGTGTGTGTTTCTATAAATAAATTCCATGAGACATCTTTTAGACACCTGAGAAATATTTAGAGGTCTAAAAATTTTAATACTTAGATATCTAAAAGTTATCCTCTGGACTTTTTGCACTATCGTGGGTTTCCTCGCAATTTTGGCAGTTTTCACTATTGGACCAATCTACGTTTCCACTTATATAAGCAGCTACGTTGCGAGAACACCCATTTAAGCCTGTCCCCGCAATTGATACTTTGTAACAATTTAGCTTAAAACATATGTTTTTAAGCATATTATATGTATATAATTAATTTATACAGGTGTAATGTATATACATATGTATATCTACATATGTATGTTGGTGTAATTAAAATGTCTGTTTATCGTCATTCATTAAAAGTATCGACAGCGGGAAGAGAATTAATGCGAATTCGTTGACGGGGAACATTGATGTGTCTGCTCTTAATAATTCTACATTTAGATAATACATTAGACGTAATTATTTGTCGTGTTTAATACCTAGCCTTGTGTCTCTTTCATTCTTCACTCTCTCGCTCTCTCGCTCTCTCCCAATCGCACTATCATTTACTCAATAAGGCGCGGGCTCGTTGAGGTGTCTCCGTCGAAGTTGGTATCAAAATGATATCCTATCAAAGTTCCCGGCGCCGCGGTTGACGCTCGAACAAAATCGAGGTCAGGAGACGACGAGACTCCGAGGTGATGCTGGTCGATCGTCGATCCAGTGAGAAACGGTTCTTAAGCCTTGACAGCCTTTATAAGGAGATCGGTGCTGAGGGACTTAGGCCTCTCGATGGGCAATCCTAAGGCGCGGTCCCAAACGAGAGAAGCGAGCACGCCCAACGCACGCGACACGCCGAATAGAACCGTGTAGTAGTTCATCTCCTTCATGCCATAGTATTGCAACAGCACACCCGAATGCGCGTCCACATTCGGCCATGGGTTCTTTACCTTGCCAGTCTCCAACAAGATTGGCGGTACTACCTTGTACACTTGCGCGACAAGCTGTAAAGGAGAAAACATCAACATTGATATTAATATTAAAATTTGATGCAAATTATTAACTTAGAATTAAATCGGAATTATGCTAAATGAATTCCGAATAGTGTGACTATACACTGAGAAAAAAGTTGCTGATTAAAAAAAATATTAGTTTATTCAATTAAATGTAACGGACTGTTAAGCAAATATTTGTTGATTTTAAACAAATATTTGTTAATTCAAACAATTAATATGTTGACACATGACCTACTGTATATTTAATTTAAATATTTGACTATTAAACGAGAATAAATTGAAATGGATAGAAATAAATTCATTTCGACATTTCTGATTTCTGATTTTTCGAATCCATGAATATATCTGAATTCAACATAATGAATAGCTCTTTTGTATTTTAATTTATTTCAATAAAAAAATAATCTAATACGGACATGAATCATCCAATTCAACATAATGAATAGCTCATTTCATATTTCTATTTGAATAAAAAAATACTTATGGCGTAAATAAGTTAGCCATTAGTACATCCCAGTTCAAAATTATAAATAAGAAGAGCCTCGTTCGAATTCACTTCACAAAAATACTAAGTATAAGCATATTCGGGTCTATGACAGTCAAAGCTAGATCTTTTTTGCCTAAATAATTTCCCAGTGAATTATCTATATCCTATATATGTACATGCATACATATCATATTTTTGTAGTTATTCAAACTACGCGCCGAAATTTTTAGGCCTCGGTTGTCTAATGGCTTAAGACGCTCGTACGGAATACAAAAGATCCAGGTTCAAGTCCCGGCGAGGTAATATTTTTCGCAATAAATTTATTTAAGGTTTTCAGCACATTGTCAATTTAATTTAATTTGCGATATTATTGCAGTAGTTTAATTGCGTAAGATAAAGTCCAAAAAAATTTCGGCGCGCAGTTTGAATAACTACAAAAATATGATATGCATGTACATGTATAGGATATACATAATTCACTGGGAATTATTTAGGCAAAAAAGATTTAGCTTTGACCGTCATAGGCCCGAATATGCTTATACTTAGTATTTTAATTTCCTGTCGGTCCGAATAAAATCTTAGTATATATATTTTTATATGATTTGTAAACTATGAATACATTACAGTTCAAAATTATGAAAATAGGAAATATGTATGTCATGTCCTGGGTATCAATCATGAAACTTTATCCCTAGGATGGAAAGTGAAAAGCGAAAATTTTAATCGTTGAAGTTAATGGAGAAATTTTTCACTTTTCACTTTATATAGAAAGATTTATTTTCAAGTCGTTTTCTTTTCTATTCATTTCATAAACAAAATCAAATTTATGCCCTCAGATATCAATTTATTTCAATCCAGCTCCGGCCTCTAAAGCGCGAACTCGAATAAATTAAAATAAATTGGAATTTTTAATTCATTTCAATCCATTCTCGTTTACTAAAAATAATCACTACGAACTAAACGCATTTAGTCAAGTTAATAACTTTTTTCTCAGTGTGTGCAAATAAAAATGTAATGTTGAAAAGAATTGAATATTTCGAAGTTAATTTTCTCAATCTTTATGGCAATATTCTTAAATATTTAAAGAGGCGGATTAATGAATCCGGTTATTTTCTTTTTTATTTAAAGCAGAATAAAATCTTTCTACTATACTTAAAACATTGCAATAAGATGCGCGATTTACCTTGAATAACGGATCGTTCGGTAAATGTTTCAACGCGAACTCCCTCTGGCAGGTGTACCTCGGATCGGTTTTCCTGAGAACGGCATGTCCGTAGCCGGGCACGACCTGGCCACTCTTCAATGTATTCCAGATGAACTCCTTGAGTTTGTCATCGCTGGGACTGTCGCCGACTTGACCACGCAACTTCTCCAGCCACACCAGCACTTCCTGATTAGCCAAACCGTGCAGTGGTCCGGCAAGACCATTCATACCAGCGGAGAAGGATAGATACGGATCTGATAAGGCGGATCCTACTAAATGGGTGGTGTGAGCGGACACGTTACCACCTTCGTGATCTGAATGGATCGTCAGGTAGAGACGCATCAGTTCGATAAATTGCGGATTGTCATAACCGAGCATGTTAGCGAAATTCCAGGACCAGTCCCGACCAGCGTCGACGGAGCCCAAACCCTTGCCGCCCTTGTAGATGTTACGGTAAATGGTGGCGGCAACCACCGGCAGTTTGGCGATCAGATTCATCGAGTCCTCGTACACGCTTTCCCAGTATTTGCTTTTGTGCACACCCTTGTTATACGCCTTAACAAATTCGCTCTCGCTGTTCAGCAACGTAATCGCTGCGGAGAACTGCGTCATCGGATGTAGAGTCTTGGGGAAATTGTTGAGGGCCTTAACCACGTGCTCGGGTAACGAGCTCCTGGATGCCCATTCCTGCGAGATGGCCTTCACCTGCGCTTCCGTAGGCACGTCGCCAGTAATCAGCAGCCAGAAGAGACCCTCCGGCAGCGGTTCCGCGCCACCGGATGCCTTCGGCAAGAGTTTCTGGCATTCGGGAATTGACTTCCCGCGGAATCGGATACCCTCCTCCGGATCCAGTACCGATGGTTCCCACACGAGGCCCTTGATGCCGCGCATACCACCGTACATCTGCATTCAAAGCAAAGTATGTTAGATGAGCAATAAAAAAACTAATATTATTGCAACAATTATTTTCGATTAGATTTCTTTCGGCTGCCTAAATTCTCTAAGCTTTTTAAGTTTATTCTAATTAATTTCAATAATTTTAATATAATCATGAAAGATTAAAGTTTCAAGTTTATTTATTAAAATATTCAAATTTCTCGATAATCTTCTTCAAGAATACCGTTAATCAATATAGTTAAGAAGGCATACACCACGAACGCCAGATGCGCAAACCAATGAATAAACTTAATTCTATTATTAAAACAGGTAAAGACAAGCTTAACAAAATGGAACTTTGTAATGTAGTTTATAAAATTAATTGCCTGAGCTGTGAATCTTCATACGTTGAGCAAACAAAAAGAAAAATAAGAACTAGAATAAAAGAACATAAATCTAACATTGCCAGTTCGAGCAGCCTTCACAGTGTGGTAGCACAGCATCAGGTGAATTTTGATCACAAATTTAATTGGGAGGACATAGAAATTCTGGATACTGAACCTTTCTTCCATAAAAGATTTACATCAGAAATGATATTCATCCAAAAACAAACACACGTTATCAATAAACAAAATGATACGGAAAAGTTACCCGAATCATATCTTCCATTACTTAAAATATCGTCCTCTACATAACTCTAGAACTTTCCATTGCTAACGCAGGGAATGTATATAAACTGACACGTACGAAAATTGATATAACGTTTTTGACTCTGAGCACAATCACATTGACTCTAGGTCCTGGATTTTATCGTTCAACGCAGGTTGGTTAAAAAAAGTTTTATATATTGATCTTTTCATCTTTTTATTCTCTTGACGTGGTTAATTAAAAAATATTTATTCAGATGGTACTTAATTAAATTAAACTTAGTATTCCAAATGTATTATGGTATAAAGTATTCTTGTTTTACACTGTCAATATTATTAATTTAAGAAAATTTACACGTAATATTAATTTTAAACATAATGTTAATATTAATTTAAGAAAAATTTTACACATAATGTAAATTTTAAACTATTTATTCAGATTGTTTTTAATTAAATTAAACTTGGTATTCCAAATGTATTTTCATATAAAATATTTTTGTTGTACACTGTCAATATTATTAATTTAAGAAAATTTACACATAATGTTTAATAGAAATTGGAACTTTTGCGTTGTATTGATGTTGAGCAAAGTGTGCACTTATTGGCTTTGGTTCACTTATCGGGATCCGGTAGACAATCTGATTTGTATGGAACACCGTTGCGTCTATCAAAATCAAATCTATTACTGAGCGTTATAAAATCCTCCGCTGACAACGTATAGAATTTATATTCGTAATATTTTTAATTTACTTATATACGTAATAATTTATTTCCGACAATTTTTGTAATATTGAGGAAAGTCTAATTTAAGACCGAAACGTCTATTTTATTGTAATATTTCAAATACAAATATTTAAGCCATCCACATCTGGCGTTCGTGGTGTATGCGCGCCTTCTTAATTATATTGTTTTACATTCTTAACACGGTATAATTTATTTTGAATACCGTTAATATTTCCCATTTATTAATTAACACTAACAATATTCTGCGAGGAGTCCCAACCTCGTGGCTGCGAGATAAGGTGACTTTACGGTTATCAACCTTGAGATTGGAAATTTGAAAATTGCAATAAAGCAAAAGTGAGACCTGTAACTCCCCGCGAAGGTTATCACAGGATCTTTGATCCAAAGGACCCCGCACTAATCCTATATGAAATTGGATTTCGGTTAAATCAAATGGTTTTCTCATATGTTATAGCTTATGACCTGCTGAACAAAACCTATAAGTTTTAG